TTCTTAGTTATAGCACTACAAAACAGGCTAAGATAATAGCTCCACCCTCATGACCTAATTAATCTCCCAGAGGCCCTATCTCCTAATACCATAACATTGGAGGTTAGGATTTCAACATAATCAATTTTGGGAATGAATAAACACTCCATCCATTGCAGACTGTCTTGTTTACAGTTATAATCACAGCAACTAGATCAGTACCTTGTTGAGGTATGATCAAGGCATGCCAAAGATTATTATTCCATGAAAGGACTAACAGTAAGTGTATTAGTCTATTCTCACACTGCTATAAAAAACTACCTGGGACTGGGCAATTTATAAAGAAAAGACGTTTAATTGACTCAGAGTTCCACATGACTGGGGGCTGGGGAGGCCTCAGGAAACTTACAATTATGGCAGAAGGTGAAGGAGAAACAGTCACCTTCTTCACAAGGTGGCAGGAGAGAGAGACAGAGAGAGAGAGAGAGAGAGAGAGAGAGCGCAAGTGTGAGCGAGTGCAAGGGGAAGTGCCACACTTTAAAACCATCAGATCTCATGAGAACTCACTCACTATCATGAGAACAGCGTGGGGGAAACTGCCCCCATGATGCAATCACCTTGACATGTGGAGATTACAATTCGAGATGAGATTTCAGTGGGGACACAGAGTCAAATCATATCTGTACGTGCTCAATATTTGTTGAATGAATGAATGAATGAGTGAACTCTCCCTTCATTTCTATGTCCACAAAACCTAGAGAAGATGTGTGAAATGCTCATCTGAACCTTGAGGGAGAGATGAGGAGCTCTGCCCAGTTCTCTACAGCAAGCCTAGGAAGGCAGTTTTACAAAATGCCTGTGCACCTGCCTTCCAAAGAGCAAAGCCCCATTAGGCATCAACTTTCAGATCCTTTAGTTTCCTTTATGCATGAGATCAGAGTGTCCCATTAAGTGCTTAAATCAGATTAACAGCCTCTATGCCAGACCTTTCTGGCTCAGCCTGCTAGTAGTTGTGGAGCCAACCACTTTTTATAGAAGCAGTGGAAGGGGATAGATGAGGAGGGGAGAAGGGCTCTGTTTGACCACACTGGTGAATCCCCCGTGTTTCCTTGGCATCTAAGTCTGAAGAAATGAGAGCTGGCAAGCAGCCTGCCCTGAGCAGACCCTGAGAGGAGGCTCCCTGTGGGGATGTGGAGAGTGGCCTGTGACCTCCCAGGAGTGAGTGGTGCTTCATCACTGCTTCTGGTAGTGCTGGTTTACAGAGGTCCCTCCGATGTCAGGAGATCAGGGATTTGTGGACAGTAGGAGAGCGCTGAAGTAGCAACATAAGCAGGATGACACCTGGCCCCATGCAGGGTGCAAATTGTATTTCTCTGTCAACATCGGCTATTGACAGCTCCACATTGACTCTAGATCTGAATCACAGCAAGCAGACTCCCTGCCTCCTCTTTCTCCAACACATTAAAACAAGCACAAAATATACCTTCCCTTTTCCTTCCACAATTATGCTCCTGTCCTAACCCACCAAGACACTTTATTAAATATTATTTATAGAAATTAAAAATCAATTAAAGATAGCTTGCATAGGGAAGAAAAGGTAAAAGTCAATCAGGTTTTAAATTTGAACCAGAAAATCAAAGGTTTAGCAAAGATAGGGCAGCAAAAATCCTGATAAAATCTTTGTGATTAGTCATTATATTTGTCTTTAAGCTTCCTGGCAACCTTAGCAAGAAGGCAAATATGATGGGCTGGGTACTTGTATTTGGATGTAAGAAAAAACACAAGTTCAACTCCAAAAACACAATCTTTGGAGCTAAGAAGTTCTGAGAGATATTATATGTGAACATGCATGTGTGTTTGTTTATGTGTATATACAATAGTTAATAGTCAATATATATAGTATACAATGGTCAGTGTCTTGGAAAACAGTTTTCCAGTCAATGCAGAAGTACTTTTGAGATAGTTCTTTCTTGCTTTGGCACCTAACAAAGATGGAAAGAAAACATGAAAACCTAATTAAGTAAAGGTACTTTACAAAGACAGAGGCAGTATCATCTAGGGTATTTCAAGGCATTTTTTTTCTTCTTTGTTTTCTTTTTTGGATAGCAGTTGTTTGGTTGGGGCTAAGAGAATTCCCTCTTCTAATCAGCAGCACATGTTTGGGATGCATCTGACTGGGGATGGAATTTTTTACTATCTGGTCCACCAGAAGCCTTTACTCCAGCTCAGTGTTGACAGAGCTCAGAGGTACAAAGGGGCAAGTAGCTCCTATAGGAAGCAAAGATTTTCATTTCTTGCTACCACCCCTCAAAGCTCATTCTTCCTCTGACTGCATTTCCTGTGCATCAGGAGTTCACAATCTTATTTTAACCCCAGCACCAGACCAGAACAATAGACAATGTTTATTATAGCCATTGTGTATAACAAACCATTCCAGAAGTTATGGTGTGAAACAACCACCATCCATTGGCCCGGAATCCTGCAATAAAGGCTGGGATCACTGGGCAGCCTGTCTCTGCTCTACACAATGGCTCTCCCGGTCAGTTGCAATCAGCTGGTGGCCCAACTGGGGCTGAAGGATCCACGAGGGCCTCACTCACCTGTCTGGGGCCTTTGTGGGGTGGCCTAAATGACTGGGCTGGGGAGGAGCCTGGCTGGAGTTTCCTTAGTTAGGGCAGCAAGAGAGCAAAAGCAAAAGGCTGGAACTTGCCCAGGGTCCCTCCTGCTGTGTCTTGCTGTGTCAAAGTCCAGCTCAGACTCAGTGTGTGAGGCGGCCACACAAGGATGTGAATTTGGAGAGGTGAAATTCATGGGAGACCATTTGGTAGCAATCGTCCTCAGCCTCCTCCCATCAATACCTTAGTCACAGCAGGTATTGACAGGAGTCAATTGGCAGGAGCCTCACCTGAGGGTTGAGGAGGCAGAGAAGGGGACAGGTATCCCTCTCATGGGGAAGGGTGGGAATTTATGTCAGGCCATTTGGTACTAGCCCAGTTCTCACTCCAAATTCTGTGCACTCAGCACTTAACTGCCCCCATCAAAAACCCAAATATCAGACTTTATGAGCTCTATTTAAATTTTTCAAAAAGGATATATGAGGAATGGACCTTGGAAGTGATAAAACAGTAAATGTTTTAAGAAGCCTCCTGGCAACGGTGCTTGAAGGCCTTGTAAGTGTGAGACACACTGAGTTATGCTGCTCCATGGCCAACGTCCTGACATTTGTGGGACAGTGGCCTCTTCAGGAGCTGCAGACCTCAAGATTCAGAGATCTTGAGGTCATCTTCGTATGGACTGCAGTGAGATATAAAGCATGTCAGTGGCAGCCCAGAAGTCAGTCAAGTTTTCTCCAGGCTGGAATGAGGACAGCCCCCACCAGCCCTAGCTTAGGACAGGAGTCACACTGTTTAAAAGGATTACTTGAATGACAAGAAAGGCCATATGCTCATCACTTTTGCAGAAGCTGGAAACCTGGAAGGGCTGGATTAGAAAACCACTGGGTAATGAAATCGGGGGACAAAAACATTTTGACATCCAAAGAAACAGTGGAAATCTTTAGAAAGGCTGATTAAATAAAAGTAAACATAAGATTCTTTGTTATCACTCAAAGCAGGCACTCATATGTGCACACACACACAAGCACTTGCACATGCACCTGCATCCACAGAGATGGGATGGAGGAGGCCTGACTTAGTAGCACCATGTAAAAATAATTTGTAAGTATATGTTAACAGTAAGCTTAATTTGAGACAAAAGTAATCAAAGTTGTTGTGACTTTAGATTATATTAATAGGAACAGATTCTAGATTAAGGGAGGTGATTTGTTTCTTCTATTCTGTATAGCCCAGTTTACTTTAGAAGTATTAGGTCAACTTCTGCATAATACGAAAGGGTTCGAGAAAAACTAACTTAATTAGAGGGAAGTTTAACATGATTAGAGAATTTGAAATCGTGAGATATGCGGAAACACAAGGAGGAACTGAAGCTATTTGACCTAGAGAAGTCCTTAACAAGGACTTAAGAATGGGTTTCAATTCTAAAGCGTTGTTATGTGGAAAGAGGGACTTGATCTGTCTTCTGTGTCTCCAAAATAGGTCCCATTGGACTCATGAGTGGAAGATTGAGGGACCCTGGCATTTCAGGTCAAAAGAAGGAAGAACATCTAATAGTTGAAGAGGCCCTCTAAGGAATGGATTGCGTAGATTTCCCTTTTACTGCAGGGGCTGGATGATCACTCATCAGGCAGACAGAGGGGATTCACACCTTGGGATGGATGCTTGGTTCAAAAGGAACTTTAGAATTCTGTCCAACCAACTATAAGGGCTGTCCTGGGCTCTTGCCTTAGCTGCTGTGGAAAACATAATGAATGCAGCTGCAGTGTCCTCTCTTGCTGAGGGGTTCAGGGGCTGCTGCTGAGGCCTGTTTCTGTTGCTGCAGGCCTCGTTTGCAGTTCTGAAAAAGCAGAGGCATCACATGCTTAGCCAGGCCCAGGACCACAGGGAGCAAACCAACACCAGCTGTTCACATGGGCACAGCTCCTGGCCATCCACTTCCTAGAAAGATGGAGATCCAGGCAGAGAGTGGATGCTGGGCTGGGGTCTTGGCAGAGGGAGCTTCCCCTGGGGGTTATAGGAGCACCGATGGAGATGGAGACCACTAAGACATGGTTTGAAAGTAGACTGTGCCACTCACAAGCTGCATGATGCTGGAGAACTTGACTAATTCTTTTGAGCTACCATTTTCCCATTGGCTTGTTGTGAAGATTAAATAGACCGTGCGTGCAGTGTATATGACCCTGTGTATTGCTGAGCCTCAGGAAATACTGTATTCCCCTCTATGTTTCCCTTCAAAACTAAGTGGTGCTGGCCACTGCGGGGACCACTGAAGAAGATACAGGGAGGGGAATGGGCCCCCCAGCCTTTCTCTGGGGGTCAGTTCACCCTAAAAGAGTGACTGCTGTGATTGCCCCTTCTGCCTCCTGACCTCCCTCCCATGCTAAGTCTGCATTTTCTCCCTGACAGAGGAACTGAAGGAGAAGCTGACCGAATATGTGGACAAGGTGAACAGCCAGAAGCCAGGCTTCATCAAAGTCGTGCGTCACAGCAAGCAGGAAGGCCTCATCCGCTCCAGGGTCAGCGGCTGGAGGGCGGCCACTGCCCCTGTGGTGGCACTCTTTGATGCCCACGTGGAGTTCAATGTGGGCTGGTAAGTGCCCCTTGGGAGAGGAGGAGGAGTCCCAGTGGGATCTAGGGCTTCGACTCCAATAGTGCAAAGCATGCTGGGATCTTGGTCATAGCCTAAGAGATAATTCTGGGAATAGGTGAAATGTGGGTGTGTGAGTGAGCCAGGCAACAAGGCTGGAACTTTAGAGTTTGAAGTGTGGTAGAGGGGAGGGGGTACCCAGGGGTCAATGGGTCAGCACACAGTGCCTAATAGGCGTGGTGACATCACATGTGACTCTGGCTGGCAGAGTCATCAGGGAAAAGGGTACATGCTAAGGGCAAAGCAGAGAGTGCCCAGCTAAGGATAGGGTTCCAACGCCTAGGAAAGGAGAGCTGGGCCAAACATGAGGCAGAAGCCCAGCCTCACAGCCAAGGCCAACACCAAGTGGGCAAAGGTGGGGGAAGATTGCCTAATGTTGTCACAGGTAGCCCGGGCTTTCCCACTCCCAGATCGGAGGTAGCACGTAATCTCAGATTCTCCCTATGGTGAAACTGTCTAAGAAAATCTTTCTTTCTCTGGTCAGAGCCGCTCAGATGCTGGGGGAAAGGGACCAGACAGAAGGCCCCAGTGGCTGCAACCAGCCAGGAATAGAGTGGCAGATGCAGACCTCCCTGCGGGGCTGGAGGGCACAGTGCCACCTGCTGTGTGTAACTTTGCCTGGGCCTGGGAGACACAGGCTCTGGCAATGACCATGAGTAGCTGGGGCAAGTAGGTGGCCACCCTTTTATCAATATGCCTGTTGTCACTGGGGTCTGCTCTGCTCCCCAGACTCCACAGTGCCAGCCTCTGCCTCCAGGGAGTGGGAGAGGAGGACACTTCAGCAGGCAGGGCGTGCACGCAGCCTGGCCTGGATGCTGCCATAACAGGCCCAAATTAAGGCTGCAACACAGTCCTTTTTTATAGCTGAAGTCCCTGCTTGCCATTTGTGACTATTTAAACAGAATTTTCTTTGGATTTATGGCCAGGATAGGAGAGGGACACTTACTATTTCAAGCTGATTTGAATAAACAGTTATACACCAAATGTATTATTAATGAGAAGCTTATCATTCCTGTCTGCAAACACATTACTCGCCTGGTGCCTGCAGGGGCTTCCCGGCTCCCTGGGAAAGCCCAAATGCCCCACCCCTCCTTGGGTGGTTGGGGAACCCTTCTGGGGGGTGGATGTGGCATAGCTGGCATTCCAAGGCAGCATCGCATGGTTGGCGGATGTAGGTTTGTTCTCACCTCCTAGTCTCTGCCATCCTCATCTGTCTTTTCCTCCAGATTGATACATAGAATTTTAGCAAAATCAAAGCACAAGGTGAAAGCTGCTTCTGGACCCTCAGATCTATTTCTTTCTTCGCTTTCTTCTTTTTTAAGTTTTGATTTTTTTTTTCTAATGGAGAAAGGGAAAGTGAGCAGGAACAAGGCTGGCTGGAATAAGAATCTCTCAGCTCAGCTCTGGATATGCTGATGGAGTGGGGGAGCCTCTTGCCATCCGGGAAATCCTCAGGGAACGGGAAGTTGAACAGGGGCTCCTTCCCAGAAGGCAGTGCACCTCTCCATCAGAGGAGATGGGCAGGCTTTCCTTCCTCTTTCTGCTGGGGAAGGACCTTCGGGAGATGCTACTCTGGATATTTCCACCTTGGAAATGGTTACCCCCTCTCTGGCTGTCTCCTCTCTGCCCAGGGCTGAACCTGTCCTCACTCGCATCAAGGAGAACCGGAAGCGGATCATCTCGCCGTCCTTTGATAACATCAAATATGACAACTTTGAAATAGAAGAGTACCCGCTGGCTGCCCAGGGCTTTGACTGGGAACTGTGGTGCCGCTACCTAAATCCCCCCAAGGCCTGGTGGAAGCTGGAGAACTCCACAGCCCCAATCAGGTAAAGCAAATCTTTACCTGTGGGTCTCTCTGCTTTGACCTCCAGGCTAGGAACCCCCTACTGGCCCAATGCTTATTCTCCAACTTGAGCCCCATCGTGGGGATGACAGGGGTAGGCAGGGTTGAAAGGAACTGCAGTCTGATCTTCAGTCACTGCCATGGGCTCTGAAGATCTCAGAATCCATTCACAGCCTCAAAGTGACCCATTTCCACGCATCACTGTGTCTGGGCGCCAAGCACTGTGCTCCAGATTGGGGATCCAGAGTGATGAAGATTTGGTTCCCACTCCCAAAAGCCTGGAGTCTAGTGAAGACAGACAAAATCGTTGGAATAGGAACATTATTCCACCATGCAGGCAGAAACTGCATTGAAAGTGGAGAAAGGCTTTTCAGAGGATAGCATTTTCACTTGTTTTTGAAGGCGAGTAGAAGATGGCTAGGTTGGGGAATGGACGTCCATATGCAAAGTTCACGAACACAGAGAAGGTTCGAAGTGACTAGAAGTGGGAAGCCAGCCAGCAGCCCCAGGTAGTGAGGGTGGAGGGGCTGAGAGGCAAGACCAGACCCCACAGGACAGCATATACCTTGGTGATATTTGAATGTTATTCTGTAAGACTCAGACAAAAGTGACTTCATACTGTATTTCAAAGGTCCCAAGTTCTTTCCTGCCTTTGCTGCCATCTTCCTGGACTCATGAATGACTGCCCTGCGCAGTCTTAGCTTTTAAGGTTCAGGACGCCTCCAACAGCTGTCTCCACTGGTTTTTATTTCTGTCTATGTTGGTTTTTGTTTTTGTTTTTGCAGCGGAGTCTCACTCTGTCGCCCAGGCTGGAGTACAGTGGCGTGATCTCGGCTCACTGAAGCCTCCACGCCCCACCCCCAACCCTGAGTTCAAGTGATTCTCCTGCCTCAGCCTCTCAAGTAGCTGGGATTACAGGCACCTGCCACCGTGCCTGGCTGATTTTTGTATTTTTTAGTAGAGACAGGGTTTCGCCATGTTGGCCAGGCTGGTCTTGAACTCCTGACCTCGTGATCTACCTACTTCTGCCTCCCAAAGTGCTGGGATTACAGGCGTGAGCCACTGAGCCCAGCCTATTTCTGTCTATATTGATGATACAGTGGGCGTCTTTATGCTCCCTGCAAAGTTCTGCCCGTTACAAAACAGAAGGCACCAGAAGGTGGCCTAGGGCACAGTTTTTGGAGTTAAAGAGATTAGAAGCTCATGTTGTTTTGTATTACATGAGGGAGAAAGGGTATGAAAAATTTAATTGAAAGTCAGTCATTATTACTTAAGATCACATTTTTCCTCACCAGAAGAAAAAAATATATACTCACACTTAACATGGAATAGAAGAAAACACCACCTAACTTTCCTGAAGTTGCCTGTTACCTACTCTGCTCGGCCCCTGCCACAATTTTGTGTTGTTAAACATTTGCTGAGATTCTGCTATGTACAAGGGTCTTTTACATGCATTGGCTCCTTTGATCATCATTATAACCTGTTGACCACTCGTGTCTCATCCCTGTTTTACAAGATGAGGAGAGCAAGACTGAGAGAGGAGAACGGCCCTGCCAAAGGCTCTGGGCGGTAGAGCCAAGATCCACCCACGGAAGCTAGACTCAGTGGCTAGTTTTCACCCCTCTATTGTCCACTGTTGAGCTCAGAACTGGTGTAGCTGTTTTCTGCTCCTAGGCCTGATGAATGCTGTTGAAGGGAAATATGCCCCCATGCAATGAGCGTTCCTGCAGAAGACTGCATTGACATTAACTGTTTCTGTTCTGCTCATCTCTAACTGTATCAGTCCAGTCTGAATCAGCAAGCCGGCATTCCAGGTCCTTGCCAGACCATGTCATCTCAACCTCAAATTTTCTATCACTCAATTTGTATCAAAAACTTGGTTGAGGGAAATAACTTTTATGGAAGATTTTTGGAAGAACATTCCTGGTTTTATTCCCAGATGAAGACAGCTCCACAGAAAGCTGTGATTTATACACATGTATCTTGCCCATCCGAGCTCCCTTTGCTTTCAAGCTATACTTTAGTGCTCTGCCCACACGTGGCATAGGTCATAAAAAGAGCTCAGCAGTATCTTCTAGTGTATTCTAAAGAGATGTCTTTGCGATGGCTGTTCCCTGAGTCACCAGGTGACCCCATTAAGAAAATCCACGTGAGAAATTTCTTTCAAACTGACTGCCAGTCAGAGAAAGCCTTGCTGTCCCCAGGGAATCAATTAATATGACATTTTCACATGAGAACTGTACATTTTGTTTCTAAGACCATGTATGTTCTTTCCACTTTGACCAACAGGAAACTCAAAGGCAAACTTTCATGTCTACTTTAAGAACAATTGAGAGAGGACCTTGGTCTGCACATGCATTCCAATTTGTTGCAATCTTTAGGTCTGTCTAGACATTTATCTATTTATGGTTTTCTATGTATTTTAAATTTTCTCATAAGCTATTTCTAATCCTTTCAGGAATGAGGCAAGGTGTAAATCAATAACCCTTTCACGCTGATAGAATCCACTTAATACCCTAGCCGGTTAATAATTAACCACTGAGGTGGCCTGTGCTCATCTCAGAGTAACTGTTTCAGATTCTGTTCATTACCTGGCTTGAACTGTCAGTTTGAGGAAGGTCCCTTACTGTGTATCCTGAAAGCATTTTTCCAGCGTGCCCTGTCATATCCAACACTTAGGAATGCAGAGGCAAATGCCACGACCCCACCACTCTGCCAGCCTGATGTTTCTGAATCATCACATATTTAAAGAGGAGATCTTCTAGACTTAGTGCACAATTGCATCTTTTTACCTTTTTAAATGACCTTTTGAGTGCCAGTTATGTCCCAGAGGCTTCAAGTGTTTTAATTTAGTCCGTGTGAGGTTAGAATGGATCCTATGTTACAGACATGGAATCGGAGGCTCGGAGACGCTAGGGAACTTCTCTTAGAGACACACATTCAGAAGGGTGATTTTTCCCAGAGAGATTACCTCTAAGGCCTGGGTTCTGTTACCTCCACCACAGCAGGGTCTCAGTCTGCTTTAGGAGTGGTAGATTAGCTTCCCAGGATGCCTGCAGGTCTATGAGGGTGAAGACATTTAGAATAAAATGCAGTGATTTGAAAGGAAGAGAAACAGTGGCTCCAGGGTGCCAGTCTCTGCCTGAGCAGCCTCCTGTATCCACATTCCCCAGGGAAATGGCCTGCAAAATCGCCTTTCTCCACCTTGATAAGTTTCCATTTTCAAAGACGGGTTCATTTACATGTGACTGACTGATAGTTTTCTCATCCCTGAGGAGCCTTCATTTCTCCTTTTATTCCCCCATTCCCACCAAGTCGTCCAGCCAGGCAAGGGCTAGAAATGATAGCAATAAACAGTAGAACAATTCAACATCACTGCATAAGCAGTGCTCTCACAGAGAAGCAGCCCCGTGCTCTCATGCTGACTCACCTCATGTGAATCGTTCTCTGTGAGGTGCTGCACTGGGTGTCTGCACAGAGCTGGTGAGACCCAAGCTCATAGCCCTCAAGGAAGGAAAAGCCTTCCAGCTCCTGGACCCCATAGCTGTTGGCAGGTTGTTCCAGCCTAAGAACCCTGTTGAATTAGAGACTCAGGCCATGTACCTAAGCTCTGCCTGTTGGCTATCTCCTCCTGGTGTCACACAGGTACCTTAAAGTCAGTTTTTCTACCACCAAAGCTTCTTTCTTTTGAAACCAGCTTCTTCTCCTGTGCCCCTGTATTGATGAGTGGCCCACAACCCACTGTCACCCGAGCCAGAAAGCCAGATGGCATCCAGGTTCCTCCCCCTTTCTCACCCTTGTGTAGTTCATCTGTTTTGAAGTTCTGCTGATTTTACATCAAAATATGTCTTCAAACAATTCCTGTCTCTGTTCCTGATACTCTGACTCAGCTCTCCATCATTTTTCACCTGGATACAGCAATGAGCTTCCCAGCTGGGCCCCTCAATTCCCACCCCTTCCCCTCTGGTCAGTCACCCACAGCTGCCTGACTATTCTCTTTAAAAAACACAGATCTGCTCACACCACTGTCTTGCTTAAAATTCCTCATGGACACCTATTTACCTGCAGATAAAATTCAAATTTTTTACCCTGCTACCCAAAGCCCTTTGCAACCTGGTGCCAGCTAATCTTTCTAAGTGGACCAAGGATGACATACAGATCCTAAGTTGGGGAAGGATAGGAAAACTGGTATGCATTCCTAAGCAGGAACAGAGACTGACTGTGCAGAGGTCAGGGTCAGGGCAGCTAGAAATACAGTCAACCTAGACTGGCAGGCTGAGCACCACTTTTCACAGCTAACACACACACAAGCACCCCCCCACTAAAGCTGATCCCAGGATGGCAGCTGTCTGCCCACTGCCCGGAGGAAACAGCCTTTCTGGAGTGGTTGGGTGAGGCCAGACCCAGGGACCACTCCAGGAACAAGCCTCACACTGGCTTTGGCAGCAGAGGAAGGAAGAGCCCCAGATCCTCCTGACAGTAAGGACTTACTGCTCTTACTCCTCAGACAGCCACACCAGACAGCCTCTCTGCTCACCACTGGCCCATCTCCCCTGCCCCTGCAGGAGCCCCGCCCTCATTGGCTGCTTCATTGTGGACCGGCAGTACTTCCAGGAGATTGGCCTGCTAGACGAAGGCATGGAAGTCTACGGAGGCGAGAATGTGGAGCTCGGGATCAGGGTGAGTGGAGTTTCTCACTCAAAGGGCTCGGCTCAGCTCCCACCAGGGTAATGAGTCTGGGGTGGAGAAATGGGGTTTAAGGTTGAGGGTTACAGACTGATTCAGAACGTCCAGTCCTGAACCCTGGTCCACATGTGTGTGATTGGGATTGGGAAGACACAGGGTGGAGCCTCTTGACTTTTCAGGAAGAAGAGGACTTCAGAACCTGCTTGGCTGGGGGAGGGAGCATGGGAGAGGTTGAGCTGCCAACTCAAGGGAACAGCCTCTTTTAAAATCAAACTGAGGGTCTGTCGGAGTAAGCAGAGGTGTGCTCCAGGAAGCAATAACAGGCATCGAGGGTGGCTGGACAAGAGTGACCCTGAGTCAGCTCCCTTGGGATTTCTCACTCTGACACTCTCTGTCTTCTCCACAGTGGCCATAGAACATTCCCGAACACTTTGTTAAGGGAGAGCCCAGGGAAATAAACCCAGGGTGTATAAACAGCAAGATGAAGTCAGGCTCACTGCAGGCTGCTTTCTGACCCCAGGCGCTAGCCAGACACACAGCCCATTCCTGCCTCATGCCATTCTCCTGCCCCAAAGTACAGGGTTTTTTCCAACAATCAGCTCATGGCATGGATCCCCAAGAGGCTCTATGTTATTTCTCATCCTACGGGAACATTTCCTAGGCTCTCTGGCTCTTTCCCCTTGGCTAATGAAAACATAAATCTACGATGAAGCCCGCTTTCCTATCTGAGGTTCCTGTTAGGTCCCCTGGTGTTAGGCAGGAATGCGATGATGGATACAATGAAGGATCTTGTCCTGGAAGGAAGCCTGCCCACCTCTATGGCCAGGGATTGTCCTTGGCAGACCCAGTATTGGAACTGCAGGGTGTCCTCCCCATGATGGCCCCCACTGTCTTCTCCATGGGGAACTCGCAGCAGTCAGCCACCCCCACACGCTCCAGGCTTGCCGATGCTTGGAAAGAACCCTGTGCCTACTGGTGTCCATAGGGATTATCTAAGATGCTCCACCTCACTGCCAACCTGTTCACACATCCGTGCAGACCTCATCTGCCTGGTTCCACCTACTGGCCCTACTCTGGCACCTTTGGCCTTAGTGTCTGCATCTGATGTCTCCAATTCTTGATACTCAATTCCCACTGAAGGACTGTAGCGTGGATGCACCCTCCTCTAACCTCTAACCTCCTTCAACCTTCCACCCCACCAGGCAGGCAACAGTCCTTGCCCCTGACCTGAAGGGGAGATTGGGCACCCACAAGGAGCATCTTAGGATGCCTGCAATGACGTGACAGGCACTGTGTGGGGCCCGACTCACCACCCAGACTTAATGCTAGGGCTTTGAGGACTGGCGACATGAACAGCCTGTCTGAAGCTGAGCTTAGAAACCACTTCCAGACACCTGTATTCACTGAAACCCTGAGAAATTGCTTTGGAAGCAGTCAAAATGCATGGACTTATTGGGGAGCTAATGTATTCATAGAGGACAGCCCCTGCATAATCACCCTCGTTTCAGCAGCTCTCTCTACATCAGCCATTTATTCTCCATTTGCGTCCTCGCCATCTTATTTCAGCACTGCTCCTGGATAGATGCTCACCCCAAACATAGTATTTTTCACGAGGAGCTGCTGTCAGGAATTCTCTGAGTGGGCTGGACCGCCTCCATTCACTTGTGTTCTCTGGGTAAAAATGTGCAGGATTGGAGAAAGGAATTAGATTTGTGAACTCTGCTTCCAACATGTGTGTGAGTCAATCACAGAGTGCAGATTTCTGGCTTTTCCTTCCTTAGATTATAAAGTTATAAAGCTATTCTGGAGTGTGGGCCTGGGTGAGGCTCTCAAATACAAGTTAAAATGTCTCTGAGTGATTTCGTGTACAGAGTTTAAAATACAGTTTACAATGATATCTGGTTTTTTTGTGGGTTTTTTTTTTCCTCCATCTCTTCCCTCTCAGTTGACAGAGATGAAGTGTCATTGGAGTTGAAGAAAGGGTAGCATTTAAAGCAGAGAACCAACAAGCTGTTAGCTGGAAAAACTGAGTACAAATGGGAGGGATGACTTCATTTGAATTTCAGTTCATCCTTTAAGGGTTACAGAACCACTGATCATCAGCAAAACAGATTTTCTTCTTTTGTATGGTTATTATTATTTGTCTTTCTTTCATGTTTGATGAGTTAACTTTCCCATGGTTCAGTTTCCTCTATAAAGTAGCACACCTGCCCTAATTACACCATAGGATTGTGTATCAATATGAAAGACATCACTTTTCACCCTTCGCTTAAGCAGAGGCAAATTATTCAAAGTCCTTACCTATCTGGAACACAGAAAGAAAGTTGTTTGTGCAACTACTAAATGCCTGCTTTGTGCCATGGGTTATATTGGCACTTACGTCATCCATCCACAAAACACCCTAAAAAGACTATTATTGTAATAGTGGGTTTTTTTCCAGATGATACTGTGAAATTAGGAGCTTATGTATATCTCAAGGTCACGTACCTTGTAAGAGGTAGAGAAAGGATTCAGCCCTAGATCTTTATGATTTGAGGACTAGACAGATATACCACAGTGATCTAGGGATAAAAGTACTTTGAGCACCATCTTAAAAAAGATATTGCAACATCCATGCAGTTATTATCTTCTACTTTATTCTACTGAGTCCCTGTTTAAAGTCTTACTCTTACTTTGTGCTCTGTTTTTTGTTTTGTTTTGTTTTGTTTTTTTTCTGATTTGTAAGTCTGCACCACAATGAGAAAAAGGAAGGAGCTGCTGTGGCCAAGCATAGGGAAATGAGTGAAAAATAAGAGCTGACATTGAATAGAAAACAGAAAGATTATATAAATGATAACTGTAAAAGTGCTAGAATGCATAAGAAAACATTTAAGGGCTGGCAAGGGATTGAAATTGTTGGAGACTGTTATGGTTTGAATTCAGTGCCCCCAGCCCCAATGTGTCCTAACCTCCTGTGAAAGTGATCTCATTTGGAAACGGGGTCCTTGCAGATGTAATCAAGTTAAGATAAAATTGTGCTGGATTAGGATGGACCCTAATCCAACAGGACTGATGATGTCCTTATAAGAAGAGGAAAATTTAGTCACAGGCAAACACAAAGGAAAGACCACCATGTGAAGGTGGAGGTAGACATTGGAGTTATGATGTCAAAAGCTCAGGAACACCTGGGGCTATCGAAAGCTGGAACAGGCAAAGAAGGATCCTTCCCTAGAGGGTTGGGAGGGAACACAGCCCAGTCAATATGTTGATTTCAGACTTCTGGCCTCCAGAGCTGTGAGAGAATAAATTTATGCTGTTTTAGGTGATCCAGATTGTGATACTTTGTTATAAGAGCCCTGGGAAACCAACACAGGGACCAAAAAAGTAAGCCGAAGTAGGAACCTGGAGAAAGGTTGAGGCTATTCTATATGGAGAACCTGGTGACATTTAAGTTTGTGTTTTCTCGGCTTCATAGAATACAGAGAACAGAAAGCCAAAGGCTTGCCTTACTTCCCGTAAAGCTGGGACTCCAAAGGCCTGTTTTCTCAGTATAAAATAGAAATCCTCTCTGGAGAAAAAGCCTTTTAACCCAGGCCACACAATTCCCACAGGGAGAGTTTTAAGGAATATGAATTTACAGTTTTAAAAACATCACAAAACAGACAAGGGAAAAAGAAAGTAACAAGAGGAAACAGCAGCAATATCAGTGGAAAGCCAAACCTGACCCACGAAGTCTCCAACTTTTGAATCCATCAGACACGGAATATAAACTAGGTTATATCATACACTTAGGAAAATAAGAGATTGAAAATATGAATAAGGAGCAAGATACTATAAAAATAATCAGTCATAGTAGGATAAAAATGGAATTTCAAACATGAAAAATGTAAAAATGGCAATTAAAAGTTCAACAGATGGGCAGAATAGCTATGTGAATACTATTAAAGGAATAAAATTAAGAAACTGGAAAATAGATCTAAAGAAATCATTCAAAATGAGCCCAAGAGACCCAGAAAAAATTGTGAAAAAATATTAAAAGACATGTAGAATTGAAATTGTGGATTTAATATCTTAAAATTCCAAGCAGAGATGATCCTTTTCTCCAGAGAGGATTTCTATTCTATACTGAGAAAACAGTATGGAGGGTTAGGCAAAAGCCATATTTAAATAAATGAGGGCTTAAAATTTTCCCAAACTGATAAAAGACACCAATCCTCAGATTTAAGAAGTCATGCCATCCAAAGTGAGGTAAACATAAAGATATCCCCATTTAGATATACCACAGAGGAACTACAGAATATCAAAGACAAATAAAAGATCTGATAGCAGTCAAAGAGAAAAGATAGATGACCTAAGTCAATAATAATTAGAATAACAGCTGACTTTTCAACTGTAACAGTGGGACCCAGAAGACTATGATATGTCTTCCTTACACTGAGAGAAAATAATTGTCAACGTATAAGTGTATGCCCAATTAAAACATCCTTCAAAAACTAGGGTAAAATAAAGTCATCTTCAGATACACAAAAACTGATAGAGTTTGTCATTAACAAGAACTCAAGAAAATAAGTTATGAATGATACACTTCAGGCTTAAGAAAAAAGATCCCAGAAGGAAGTCTGAGACAAAAGAAGATGAGTAGCCTCAAAAAGTGGTATGAGGAAATATAAAGAAATATTGATGACAAATAATACAGGGTAGTGTCTTGTGGAGTTATTAAAACTATAATATATGATGACAATAGCATATAGCTTAGGAGGGAGTGATTGGACTCAAGATGTTCTAAAATACCTACATTGTTAATGAGGATGGAAAGAATATTGTTTAAATTTTGGTAACTTAAGTAAATATGTTAAAATTTCCAGGAAAGTCATAAAAATCATAAAAATAGAAAATATAACTTCCAAAGTAATAGAAGAAAAATAAAGTGTAAAAGTGTTATACAAGAGAGAAGTAGAAATATAGATCATGCAAAGAAAAAGCATACAATAAGATGATTGAAAAACCCCAAATAT